TTTCCTGTTTTTCACCATTACTTGTCTGTTTAATTTGCCTGTTGAGGGATGGTTATCTTAATTACATTAATTGATGTGAGAAAAGCCATCTTACTTGTGGGCAGGTCCATTTCATGACCTGAGTCCTGGACTGGACGCAAAGATGCAGGCATTCATCCCTCCCTGCTTCCCGACTGTGGATGTGACATGACCAGCTGCCTCGGGCTCCTGCTGCCTTGACTTCCCCACCATGATGGACTGGTCCTTGAACTTTGAGCTAAAACAAACACTTTCTCCCTTAAGTTGCATTTTTTCCAGAGTATTTTATGATGGAAACAGGGTCTCCCTGTAGCCCCAGCTGGCCTAGAACTCAGTATGTGGACCAGGCTGGCCTTGAACTCACAGAGATCACCTACCTCTGCCCCCCGAGTGCTGGGACTAAAGGCGTGCGCCACCATGCCCGCTGTGCCCCTGTGCCTGCTGACACCTGATTTTACCTTGGTGCTGGTATCGAACTCAGGCTCTTGTGCTTACATGGCACACACTTTACCAACTGACCTCACTCCCAGCCCCTAATAATTTGTTTTTATGTTTTTATGATTTTTCTTATCATTTATTTTAGTTTTTTTTTTTCTTTTTGGTCTTTTTGAGACAGGGTCTCCCTGTAGCCCCAGCTGTCCTGGAACTCACTATGTAGACCAGGCTGGCCTCGAACTCACAGAGATCCGTCTGCCTTTGCCTCCTGAAGGCTGGGACTAAAGGTGTGCACCACCACACACACAAGGGCGTCATTATTTATTTATTTTTGAGATAAGGTCTCACAATGTAGCCCTGGCTGGCCTGGAACTCTGTGTAGACCAGGCTGGCCTGGAACTTACAGAGAGCTGCCTGCCTCTGCCTCCTGAGTGTTGAGATGAAAGGTAAGTGCCACCATGCACGGCCTGAAAGCTAATTTCTATACAGTATGGAGTACTGTAGAGCAGGGCAGGCCCTGATCCACTGTGGGCAAAGAACTTACAGTCTATGGAGGTGATGAAGAGAACCCTCTATCTAAAAACAAGAAAAAAAAGCAAAAACAAAAACAATCCTCAGCAAGCCCAGCTTAGTTGATTTCTGCTGGACGTTGTGAACATCAGTGTCACACTCTTTTGCTAGGTGCCCTTCTGCTTCTATGTACGGCTTACACTCATTCAAAACCTAAAGCAAAGTTTCGGTGGACCACGCTCTAAACTACATAAATCAAAAAAATTTTTTTGACTGTCTAGTGCTTTCTATAAGGTTTATCTGAAACTTATCAATCCCCAATGTGTACATAGGTAATATTTATTACATTATCAATAAGTGTAATTTGGAATCCATGTTTGTTTAGTAAGATGCTGCTGCACAGCACTTTCTTCTGAGTCAACTGCCATCGTCATGACTTCAGCTGTGCCTACTTGCAAAAAATCATCACAATTTGGGCTTGCTGACTATGTTCATTCACAAAAGGAGAGATAAGCAGGGTCATTAGACCCTCACCTGAATATCCAGCCACTCTTCCCAGCCAGTTGTATGCAATTCTGCCCTAATCATGTGGCCTCCTGGTTTTAGGGAGGGCTAAAGTATATAACCTGGGGAAGACTAGGGAGAGGGGGCTTGACCCATGAGGCTATGGGGAAGTCAATATCCATGCTGGGTACAGACTTCCAGTGCCACTCTTTCAGGCAACCCATGCACCTGTCGGTAACCCCTTACCCATGCTCTGTGAGGAAACTCAATAAACTCATTGGTTCCCCACTTTAGTAATCAAACATTGGTTTGACACTAGAACCTTAGAAAGGGGCTAAACAAAGCCAGGTGTGGTGGCACACGCCTTTAGTCCTGGCACATGGGAGGGAGAGGCAGGCAGACAGATCTCTGTGAGATCAAGACAACCTCCTGGTCTCCATAGCAAGTTCCAGGCCAGAGAAAGGGGCTAAACAAAGCCAGGTGTGGTGGCACATGCCTTTAGTCCCGGCACATGGGAGGGAGAGGCAGGCAGACAGATCTCTGTGAGATCAAGACAACCTCCTGGTCTCCATAGCAAGTTCCAGGCCAGACAAGCTGTGGCTACAGGAAAACCATGTCTCAAACAGACCAAAAAACAGAAGGTGAAAGAAGATGGTGAAGGAGTGTGGAAGCCGGGTGTGGTGGCACACGCCTGTAGTCCCAGCACTCGGGAGGCAGAGGCAGGCGGAGCTCTGTGACTTCGAGGCCAGCATGGGCTACCTACTGAGTTCTAGGACAGCTGGGGCTGCAGGGAGACCCTGTCTCAAAAAGACAGAAAAACAAAAAAACCCCAAAGAGTATGGACATGGAGATATAAAGATGGCTGCATGTTTCCAGAATAGGAATAGAAATGAGAAAGTCTATGCAAGTGACTTAGAGGTAATGTATAGATAATATTTTTAAGGTCAGAGTTCAGTCCACTGGCTTAAGGAACAAAATATATGTCTAGTGAAGGTTTATTTAAGATTGTTTTAGCTGGGCGTGGTGGCACACGCCTTTAATCCCAGTGCTTGGGAGGCAGAGGCAGGCAGATCTCTGAGTTCAAGGCCAGCTTGGTCTACATAGGGAGCTCCAGGACAGCTGGGGCTACAGGGAGATCCTGTCTCAACAAGACCAAAAAGAAAAAAAAAAGACTTATTTTTGGCTCAAGCTTTATTTCTTTACATGTTGCACAGTAATTAAAAGTACCAGACTGGGGCGGGGGGGAGGTTTAGATAGATGGCTCAGCAGTTAAGAGCACTGGCTGCTCTTGTAGAGGACCTGGGTTTTATTTCCAGCACTCACATGGCAAATAACAACCATCTGTAACTCCAGTTCCAGGGGATCTGGCACCCTCTTCTGACCTCAGGCATTGTATGACATGGGTGCACTTACATGCAGGCAATATATTCATACACATAAAATAAAAATAATAAATAAAATATCAAAAAACCTACCAGACTGGTGTAACTAAACTTCTTGGATGTTTAACAACCATACATGGAGACCTATATGGTCAGAGAGACGTTTTGCCCCTTGCCCTCCAAGGTCAACCAAGACCCAGGGGACTATGAGGCATCTTTCAAAATGTCCTGTAACTGTGGTGAGTCACCTATCTTCTTGTTCAGGAAGGTCATAGAGACCTCACCAGATGGACTTGAACCAGTGTCCAGTCTACAGCGAGGAGGATCAGCACAGAGTGGAAATATTCCCTAATGCTTCTTAGTGAAACCACAGTTAAGCATGACCGTTGGCTTACCCGCACACAGATGAAATAACTGTTGTAAGGAAGACTCAGGAAGCTAGAGGCGCCTCCCAAACCCACTTGATGCTTGAGGATCAGACCCTCAATTGACCTTGAAAAAAAAGAGAAATTGTTAATTTGGGCCAACTGTATGGTGTTAAATGCCCCCAAAGAAAATACAGCCAAAGATTAAAGTGCGCAGTATGTTTAAGGGTCCAGGACATTGTGCTTCCCAGATATTAGACTTAAATTCCCACGAGATGTTATTTAGATGGTTCTCACTAATGATTTTCATCTTGATAAGAAAAATGCTACTCAGATATGACTTCAGACCTTGACCCAGTTCACCACTACAGTGCCTACCTGCATGTATGCATGTATATTTTATTATTTTTATTTTTATATGTGTATGAGTGCATTGCCTGCATGTATGTGAGTGCATCCGTGTCATGCAATGCCGTGGAGGTCAGAAGAGGGCTTTGGATTCCCCAGGAATTGGAGTTAAGGACCACAGTTGTAGCCGCCATGTGGGTGCTGGGAATCGAACCAGGGCCCTCTGCAAGAGCAGTCAGTGCTCTTTGCTAAACCATCTCTCGAGCCCCAAGACCACTATTGTTTTAATTCAATAACTAAATGATGTCTAATTTCCTTTCTATCTAAAAGATATTTGAGAGTAGATGAAACTTATTAAATACTAGTCTTTTCTTTCAAACCCTATAAAATTTGGAACTTGATTTCTGAAGGAATTCTAATCTTTTAATCCCACCACACCCTGTAAGACTTGTTTCAGGAAAAGGTACTGATGCATTCCTGACCCCGATGGCCTGGGGCTGTGGCGCTTCTCCCAGCAATTCTTGATTCTTTTAAATCAGCAAACCTGGAAAGACTGTGAGTCGGATCCTAGCCAATGGGAAAGGACACAGTTCTCTTGCATTAGGGGATAAAAGCCCATCACGCTCTGGGTCCTGTGTTCTTGCTGGAACTGACTACACAACACGCCCTTTGTAAAAGTAAAACCTGCCAAGCCGAGTTACTGTCACTTTGCCCGTGTGTTCTTTGATGGGGTCCTTGAAGAATTGCAAATAATTTCAAAAGAGGACCTGGGTTTGATTTCCAGCACCCACATGTGGGCTAACAACTGTAACTCCAGTTCCAGGGGATCCGAAACCCACTTCTGACCTCCAAGGACACTGCACAACATGGGTGTACTTACATACATGTAGGCAATACTCAAACACCTAAAATTAAAAAAAAATAAAGTATTTAAAAAGAAAAGTATTTAAAGTGTTTAAAAAAGAAAAATCAGCACATTACATGCAGTGAAAAGAGCTGATCACAGGACAAACGCTGTAGGATTCCGTTGCATGACGCATCTACAGCAGCTAAATTCAAAGGAACAAAGTACAATACTGGTGGCCCCGGCTGCTGCAGAGGACTGGAGATGGGTTTCCTGGGCAGGGACTTTCTGTTTTGTGGGATGCAAAAGGCAAAAGTGTGCAGGTTACAGCCACACTCAGCCTGTTAAAATGGAAATTATGCCCTGTGTACTTTATCATACAGAAAAGGGAAAAAAATTAAGCCCCCGGCCGACTGACCACCGCGCAGCCCCCGGCCGACTGACCACCGCGCAGCCCCGGCCGGCTGCTCGGAGCAGAGGGACCTGCAGGCGCGTTTCAGGAGGCGGGACGGGAGGCCCGAAGGGGGCGTGGCACGTGCGTGGCCTCCCGGGCGCGGCCGCGCGGTTCCTGTGGGCGTGTCTGCAGCGCACCACCGAGCCGCGGCTCCTCGCGCGGCCGGAAGCGGCTCCCGCCCGCGGTGTACTTCCGCTGGAGTGGAAGTCGGCGGGCGCGGAGCCCTTCCGGGGACCGCCGGAGCCGGCCTGGCCTCCGCTCCCGCGCGCCTGTCCCACCTGCGCTGAAGTCGCCCGAGTCCCGGAGCCCCAGCGTCCTTCCGATGCGCCCGCCTCCGGCTTCCCGGGAGGCCCGGCCGTCCTGCCGACGGGGCCGAGCTGCAGCCGCGCTCCGCCAGACCGCTCCGGTAAGTCCCGGGGGGTCCGCGTCCCGGGGTCTCTGTCTCCGGGGACTCCTGTGTGCCCTGCCTGCCCTGTCTCTCCGGGTCTCTGTCTGATCTGTCTTCCGTCTCTCCGGGCCTCTGTCCGCCCCTGTCACCCGGGATTCTAGTCTTCCAGAGGTCTCTGTCTCTGTCTCCCCGAGGTCTCTGTTGGCTGCTGAGTTGTGGGATTAAAGGCTGAAAGGATTAAAGGCGTGGGCTACCACTGTTCTTAATTCCCTTTTAGAAGCAGAAAATCTTAAGTTTTTGGGGTTCCCTTAAAATGTCTGTTGGCTGGTTTGTTTCAGACAGTCTCAGGTATCCCACGTTGCTGTGGGCAAAGCTCGTGTGATGGTTAATTTGTCGGCTGCACAAAACCTAGAATCACCTGGGCAGAATCTCTGGAAGTTGCTCTGTGGGCCTGTCTGGGCGGGGGGAGGGTCTCGATTGCCTTAATAGACACAGGCAGACCCAGTCAGAAGTTTGCAATACTTCTATTGTAGGTCAGGCTGGCCTCCAGAGACCCACCTGTCTCTGCCTCGGGAGTGCTGGGATTAAAGGCATGCCCTGCCTCACTTAACTATTTATATGAATCAGTTTTTTATTTTACTGTTCCCTTGATCTATGTCTTTAAATTTTATGTTTTTTTTTTTATGTGTGTGAGCTCTTGCACGTATGTATATGTACCATGTATGTGCCTGGTGCCCTCAGAGACCAGATGAGGACATCTGATCCCTTGGAACTGGAATAACAGGTGGTTGTGAGCTGGGCAATGTGGGTATTGGGAACCAAACCCAGGTCCTCTGCAGGAGTAGCAAGTTCTCTTAACTGCTGAGCCAACTCTGCACCATCTGTGTGTCTTTAAGTCACCATAGTGGTTGTGTTTTTTTTTGGTCTTTTTGGTCATTTTGAGACAGGGTCTCCCTGTAGCCCCAGCTGTCCTGGAACGCCCTATGTAGACCAGGCTGGCCTTGAACTCACAGAGATCTGCCTGCCTCTGCCTCCCAAGTGCTGGGATTAAAGGTGTGCGCCACCACCCTCCGCCATGGTTTTTTTAAAAAATATTTTATTTATTTATTTTTTTGGTCTTTTTGAGCAAGGTCTCCCTGTAGCTCCACCTAGCCTGGAACTCACAATGTAGACCAGGCTGGCCTCGATCTCAGAGATCCTCCTGCCTCTGCCTCCCGAGTGCTGAGATTAAAGGTGTGCACCACCACGCCTGGCTTTGGGGATGCAGTTTGTAAGGATGCAGGCTGGAAAGAGGGGCTGGAAGGGCATAGAATACAAAGACAGAGGGTTCAGGATTGGAAGGCACCATATGACCAGGTCACACAGGCCATGGCACAGACTGAGAAATCACTTATTCCCAGGAGTAAAAAAGGTGCCACCCCATAAATTTATCAGAGTGAATGGGGGTCACAAGAACACATGGGCTAGTCATTATCAGAAAACCAAAGCCCAAGAACTCACCGGACATTCCAGATCAAGGAAAGGCTGTAACCCCCTCCCCGACACCCTACAGTGATAAACACCTACATAAGAAATTCTTATGGTTCATTTTCGGTATGAGATGCATTTGGAGCTCATCAACAAATCACAGATAAGCGGGAGGCACTAGCTCCCCTTCTGTTGCCTGGGTGCTTTTTAGTTTACTTTAGGGTTGGAAGGCTACAATCTGCTGCAAGACTAAGCTACCAGAAAAGGGGAGATCTCCAGTCCCAGGAGGATGAGGAATTTGGGGTGGGGACTAAGCTAGACAAGCAGGAAGATGGGACCTCCTTGAGGAACTCAGCCAATGAGGAATTCGAGGCAGGGCAATGCATTTAGGAATATAAAAAACACTGTTTTGTATCAAATTGGCAGGCCAACCATTTTTGCCTTTTCTCAAGACTGATGTCAGACTTTACTAGGTTATAAAACAAACTTTTGGGGGCTGGAGAGATGGCTCAGTGGTTAAGAACACGCCGGGCACCCATGTGGTAACTAAAAACCCTCTAACTCCAGTTCCAGGGGATCCTGAAGCTCTCGTCTGATCTCTGTGAGCACTGCACAACATGGGTGCACTTACATACATAACATGCAGGCTATACACTCATACACATAAAAAGAATTTTTTTAAAATGTAAAAAAAACAAAACCTTGCTACTCAGTTTCCGTTCTCTTCTGAAGTGAACGTCACTGTTTTTCAAACCTAGCACTATGGTGGCAGTGGTGCCCACCCATCTGTCATGTGACAGACAGGCAGAGAACTCCCAACTATCCCAAGTGCTTCAACTTGGCTCACCCTGTGTTGACTTAGCCAGCTAAAAATGTGTTGTCCCATCCATTCACCAAGGGCTGGTCCTAACCATTTACCTCTCCAGCCGGACTCGACTCCAGCCAGCAGTCTGGTTCTACAGCTGCAGCACAGCAGCTCCCGTTCTCCTGCTTGTGGCTCTCACCTGCCTTTCTCTCAGGTTCCAAGCTCTGACTTCACTGTCCTCTCTACCCCTGTAAGTCATCCTGTAGCCTTCAGATACAGAGAGAGGGGAGACCGAGATGGTTGATCGCGGTCCTCAACTTGACTAGATCTGAAGTTAAAATGTGATCAGATTCTGTGAAGCAGGACGATCACCCTGAATGTTGTGGCACCTTTGGTGGCAGCCCAGACAAAAGGTCACAGCAGAGGCAGCTTTTGCTTTTTGCCTGCTTACCTTCTCTCACTAGTCTTTACCTATCTTGCTGAGGCATTTGGTTGCTGCTATTAGAACCAACTTCTTTGGGTCCCAACATAGATTGAGGACAAGATCCCCAGGAATACTCCGGGCCTTTAGCACCATGTTACCAACTGCTCAGTCATCCAGTCTCGTGGACAGAGCAACTACCAGATTCTCAGCACTACACTCCAGTGTGGCAGTCACTGTCAGACTACTCGGACCCTATCCTATAAGCCAATCTCCTGCTGCCATGGCACCATTGTGGACATTTAGCCCTCTGGAACAGAAGCGCAGATAAACTCTTTTTTAAAAAATATTTTATTACTTTTATTTTATGTGTATGTGTGTATTGCCTGCATGTAGGTAAGTGCACCCATGTTGTCCAGTGCCCTCAGAGGACAGAAGAGGCTGTCGGATCCTCTGGAACTGGAGCTACGGACAATTGTTAGCTGCCATGTGGGTGCTGGGATTTGAACCTGGGTCTTCTGCAAGAACAACCAGTGTTCTAACCGCTGAGCCATCTCTCCAGCCTCCAGATAAATTCTTACTTAAGTTGTCTTTGGCCATGGTATTTTATCACAGCAACAAAAGAGTAAGTCATAGAGTGGTAGAGTTTCTGGCATACAGAAGGCACTGGGTTCAGTCCCCAGCATCACAGAAAGGCCAGCCTGTAGTTAAGTACCATGCAAAGGGCACATCTCCTGGACTGGTAGTTTGTATTGTGGCCAAGCCACCTTGCAAAGAAACACAAAATATTTGGTTTATTTTTTAGGATCTGAGAATCAAATTTACCCCAGTTCTTTTTAATATACCCCCAGTGGACCACTCAGGCACGGTGTTGCATGCCTGTAATCCTAGCACTTGGGTGTTAAAAACAGGAGCATCAGAATTTCAAGGTCATCCTTGGCTACATAAATGAGTTCAACCATAAATGGGTTACATGTGAACAGAGAGGAGGGGGAGGGAGGGAGAGAGAACGAATATATTCCAGTGCAAGCCTGGAGGAACAGAAGGACCTCCCATGTTGAGGTGGGATAAGTGACCCTACCTAATGGGTCCCTCTAGAGGAAAGAGTCCAAAGTGTATGCAAGCCAGTGAAGCCGTGGCTTTCAGAAGGGGTGCCCCACCTTTGGAAGGAGCCTGTTGTGGAGATGTCTACAAGGGACTCTCACCTCCTGACTGTGGGGCCTCCAGTTAAAAGCAAGAACTCTGGGTGTGCAGTCTAGGTTTGGAAAGAGGAAACGTTACCAGAGGCACACAGTTATTCTTGGGAGGGCTGGCCTGAAGAGAACAGAAACTATGGCAGAGAAATACCTGCTGTAATTTGTGCAGATTTACCCCAGCCCACTGTGCATGCATTGGGAAGCAGGGATTGAGCTGAGAGGAAGGTGGCTACTGTGGTGCACAGATGCTTCTGGCAGCCAGGGAGGGGAGCTGAGCTCAGAGAGGAAAAACAGTTCTTTTCTTTTCTTTTTCTTTTTTCTTTTCTTTTCTTTTTTCTTTTTTCTTTTCTTTCTTTCTTTCTTTCTGAGGAATTCACTGCTTTGGACAGGGTATCTTGGTAAAATCTCTCTAAGAAGGTGAGAAATGGGAAGAAACTACCTTCTGGGCAGAGCAAGTGGCGGCAGCAAGACCAGGGGGAAGCCCCTGTTTGAGGTCAGGTCTTGGATTCACAGGAAGTTAGTTATATGCTTTTTCCTGGAGGATTGACCATTCCTATGACCATAAGTAAATTAAAGTCCTATCCCACCTAAATGAAATTGAAAGAACTGTCATTTTATACAGCATCTTTTTTGGTGTTTTTGAGACAGGGTCTCCCTGTAACCCAAGCTGTCCTGGAACTCACTATGTAGACCAGGCTGGCCTTGAATTCATTGTGATCCAACTGCCTCTGCCTCCAGAGTGCTGGGATTAAAGGTGTGTGCCACCACTCCCGGCCTTCCAGTCGTTTTTTCTTACTGGCTAAGTGTTTGGACCACCCTGTCTTAGCTTTCAGATCCTACCAAAATGTTGCCTTGGCCAGAGAAATCAGTTGCTAGGGGAGAACTTTTCCATTGTAGGTCTGTTAATGAGCTCATTCCCTCACACACGAGGGCTGGTCTAGTTTGCCTTCTGTTAACTGTGATAAACATCAGGACCAAAAGCGACTTAGGGGATGCATGGCTTTATTTCAGCTTTCAGTTTAGGTCACAAGCCATCATTGAGGGAACAAAGTCAGGATAGGACCACAAGGGGAGACTGGGAACTAAGAATGAAGCCACAGAGGAATGCTGCCTGTTAGCTCCCTCCCTG